GAGAGGCGGGTCGGGTGCGGCCAGGCCCGGAGCAGCGGCTGCCAGGCTGGGAGCGGCCAGGCCCGGGGGAGCAGGCGGGTCGGGTGCGGCCAGGCCCGGAGCAGCGGCTGCCAGGCTGGGAGCGGCCAGGCCCGGGGGAGCAGGCGGGTCGGGTGCGGCCAGGCCCGGAGCAGCGGCTGCCAGGCTGGGAGCGGCCAGGCCCGGGGGAGCAGCCGGGTCGGGTGCGGCCAGGCCCGGAGCAGCGGCTGCCAGGCTGGGAGCGGCCAGGCCCGGGGGAGCAGGCGGGGCTGGTGCGGCCAGGCCCGGAGCAGCGGCTGCCAGGCTGGGAGCGGCCAGGCCCGGGGGAGCAGGCGGATCGGGTGCGGCCAGGCCCGGAGCAGCGGCTGCCAGGCTGGGAGCGGCCAGGCCCGGGGGAGCAGGCGGGGCTGGTGCGGCCAGGCCCGGAGCAGCGGCTGCCAGGCTGGGAGCGGCCAGGCCCGGGGGAGCAGGCGGGTCGGGTGCGGCCAGGCCCGGAGCAGCGGCTGCCAGGCTGGGAGCGGCCAGGCCCGGGGGAGCAGGCGGGGCTGGTGCGGCCAGGCCCGGAGCAGCGGCTGCCAGGCTGGGAGCGGCCAGGCCCGGGGGAGCAGGCGGGTCGGGTGCGGCCAGGCCCGGAGCAGCCGCTGCCAGGCTGGGAGCGGCCAGGCCCGGGGGAGCAGGCGGGTCGGGTGCGGCCAGGCCCGGAGCAGCGGCTGCCAGGCTGGGAGCGGCCAGGCCCGGGGGAGCAGGCGGGTCGGGTGCGGCCAGGCCCGGAGCAGCGGCTGCCAGGCTGGGAGCGGCCAGGCCCGGAGCAGCAGCAGCCAAGTCCAGAGCAACTAGGTCGGGAGCGGCAGTGACCCGACCCGGAGCAGCTGGTTGTGGAATGAACCAGAGCAACAGAGGCCAGGCCCTGAGCAGCCAGGCCCAGAACAGCTCGCTCCTTGCCTGCCCCTGCCCCACGGCTGCTTCTCAGACATGGCTGGAAACTTTCGTGGGAACTTGAGGGTCTGCTGAATCAAGTGATGAAGGCTTAGATCTGGATGTGTTGAGTTAGTTTAGGACAGGGGTGTTGATCTGTGAGTGCCTTGGGTGGGGCCTGGATGAGGCTGGTTGACCTAGTGGGAAATGTCTTTTGTGTGAAGTGTATCATTGGGCATGTGGAGGTATTATTGATATGAGAAAATGCTAAGTAACTGATTTACTATCTGAAAAGGGATTTACTATTGGGGAAATTGAGGGAAGAAGAGACTGAACATAAACTGCACCTATGGATGAGGACAATGGGGGGTGGAGGGGGAACGGAGGGTGGGGTGGGAACCTGGTGGAGGGGGGAAGAAATGAGGCACCTTTGTAATAATATGAACAATAAAGACTGATAAAAAAAAAAAAATAAAAAAAAAAAATAAATAAAAAGTATACATTTTTATTGATTTCAGAGAGGGAGAGGGGGAGAGATAGAAACATCAGTGATGAGAGAGAATCATTAATTGGCTGCCTCCTGCACACCCTACACTGGGGTCTGAGCCCACAATGTAGGCATGTGCCCTGATTGGGAATCGAACCATGATCTGGTTCATAGATCAATGCTCAACCACTGAGCTACGCTAGCTGGGCGCAAACAACCTTAATTCAACATCTGCTTTTAGGGAACCCCACCATCTTAGTCAGTTTGGGCTGCTAGAACAAATGACCATAGATGAGGTGGTTTATACAACTAACATTTATTTCTCACAGTTCTGGAGTAAGCAGATCTGGTGTGTGGTGATCACCCACTTCCAGGTTGACATGGAGCAGCTTCGCATTGCATTCTCACCTTGTGGAGAGCAGAGGGAAGAAGCAAGTTCTCTTGATTCTCTTCTCATGAGGATCCACCTCCTGAACTTACTTCCCAAAGGTCCCACCTCCAAACACAATGGCTTTGGGGGTTAGGATTTTAACATATGAATTAATTTTGGGGGGGAGGAAGGGAAGCACAAAATATAGTCCATAGCAGATATCTAAGAAAAGTGGAAGAGAATCAAGCACTAAGCTTACATTTTCTGAATGGGTTATATGTCAAGGTAGCAAAATAGTTGATGAGGGAAATTCTCCTTTTTATTTTATTTTATTTTTAAAAAATATATGTTATTGATTTTTTACAGAGAAGAAAGGAGAGGGATAGAGCGCTAGAAACATCTATGAGAGAGAAACATTGACCAGCTGCCTCCTGCACGGCCCCCACCGGGGATTGTGCCCGGAACCAAGGTACATGCCCTTGACCGGAATCGAACCCGAGACCTTCCAGTCCACAGGCCGATGCTCTATCCACTGAGCCAAACCGGTTCCGGCGAAATTTTCCTTTTTAGATGATTATAAAGTACAGCTAATAAGTGAAGGAGGGATGACAACATTAGAACACCTCCATTTTGTACTCCTAATGAAATAATGGCTCTCGACAATGTTATCAGTAGGTATTACATAAAAAGCTAATGGGGGTGAGTTGAATGGTGGCCACAAAAAGATATGTCCACATCCAAATCCCTGAAATGTGTAAATGTTAACTTGTTTTTAAAAGGGTCTTTATAGATGTAATTCATTACATGAATTCATTCCCTAAATTCAGTTAATGGTTTTGAGATAAGATGGGAGAATGGGGGGGATACCAATGTGTCCCAGAATCTATACTGCCCTCCTTGGTACTTGTGGTAGACTTGGGTACTGCTGCTGCTACCAAATAGTATTTCCAATTTTGCTTCTGGACCAAGGTGACTGCTCTTTCCCGCTCCCTTGCGATTGAGTAGGGCCATGTAATCAGTTCTGGAAAACTGACTTATGAACAGAAGGGACGGGTGTCCCTCTGGGCCATAGCTATTATATTTTACTTCTGGCAGAGTAACTTACAGCATTTGAGATGGTAACTACTCTATCAGCCTGGGTCTCTGAATAACTAAAATGAGAAGACCCACCCCTTGTTGACCATAATGTACATGTAGCCTACCTGAGTGAGAAATTTTTATTTTAAGCCACTGAGATTTGGGGTTTGTTTGTCATCGCATCATAAGTTAGCTTGTTCTGACTAATACAATGCCATACAACAACCAATCTTACAAGCTACTTGCTAGGAACCTGAATAATAATAATTGTTCTGCATCGGTCTGCGGACTGAAAGGTCCCAGGTTTGATTCCGGTCAAGGGCATGTACATTGGTTGCAGGCATATCCCCGGTAGGTTGTGTGCAAGAGGCAGCTGGTCGATGTTTCTCTCTCATCGATGTTTCTAGCTCTCTATCTCTTTTCCTTCCTCTCTGTAAGAAAATCAATTATATATATATATATATATATATATATATATATATATATATATATATATAATACAGATTATTCCTGTGGTTTCTTAAATCTTTTTTAAAATATATTTTATTGATTTAAAAAAACATATATTTTATTGATTTTGTACAGAGAGGAAGGGAGAGAGATGGAAAGCTAGAAACATCGATGAGAGAGAGTCATCGATCAGCTGCCTCTTGCACACCCCCTACTGGGGATATGCCCGCAACCAAGGTACATGCCCTTGATCGGGATAGAACCCGGGACCTTTCAGTCCGCAGACAGATGCTCTACCACTGAGCCAAACCGGTTTTGGCAATAAAATATATATTTTTTAAAAATAATAATTGTTTTATTGTTGTTATTATTGTTATAATAATAATCATTATTATAGTTACCACTTACTGAATGCCTCCTACGTGTAACAGACATGTACTACCCAGTACAGGCATTGTCTCAATTCTGCTCACAGCAACCTTGGAAGGTATTAGCCAATGACCACGACAGGAAAATCAAAGCTTAGAACTAGCACAAATATTTCATTTGCTATCTGAGTGAGGGTTATTGAAAATGCTATTCTTTGATCATTCTCTGACCCTTATACATATTATCTTTAACAATCATAGCAAGAACCGGCCTGGAATGCATGTTTTCGTGTATAAAATGCCATTAAAGAGTTCATGACCTTTGCTTCTGTCATTACTATTCTCTAGACCAGGCTTTTGTGGTGCAGATAGATTGCTTGAACAGTAAAAAATAATATATATGAAAAATGAATTAATGGCATTCGAGTTTGTACGTAGAGTTGCTAGTATGCTTCCTTTAGCCAGATGTTAAGAATGCTCCGGTCCAGCTGCCCCTTTTCCCTGGCGGCCATGGTGGTGGTGAGCGCTAAACCGAATGCACAATCTCCCCCAGTATCAGCCCTGTGGGACGTGCTGGTGTGTTTGCTGCCTCCTCCTTCCATGGGGTTGATTTCCCGTTAGTTGTAACAATGGTATAATTTTCCCTTCTTTAATAGTAGTCCTGAAAACCCTTCTGGGAGACTGGCAGGATACAAACACATTTATAGATATTTTTAGGTCTCTCTTTTTATTTGTTCTGTGGCGGGTGTAGGACTAGGGGTTGATTTAGTCATCTTAGGTGAGTTTGCGGCGCCCCCTGGCGGTGCTTGGCGAAACACCCTGGGTTCTCCGCGTCTGTACCGGGCTCTGTAAGCTCACGGAGTCTCCAGCTCTGTTTGGGGCTCTCCTCGCCATCCCCTCCTGCAGGCTCCTCCTAAGCGGCAGTAGCCCTCCATAGGCGCAGTCTGCACGCTTTATGAGTTCATCCCCTTCCAGCTTCGTCCAACACAAAAACTTCCAATTGTGTTATTGCTGTATACAGAGGTCAGTTCATGTCCCCTGGGCGCCCTTCCCACCCCCTGCAGTGGCTGCGTTGTCTACTGGGGGCACGTGAACCGCCCCGGGGCCCTGATCCGCAGGTCCGGGGTCGCAGCTACAACCCGCCACCGAGACGCCACCACCTCCCTCCCGACACCCCACCCGCCAGGAGTCCTGGGAAGGCGGGTCCGGAGGGGCTGCTCTTCATCTGGCGGGAGGAGAGGCAGCAGGAGACCCCGCAGGACTCCCAGGCGTTGTCGCGCGTGCGGAAGGGGCCCCGGATGCTGAGCAGAGGGCCCTACTCGGAGTAGCAGTAGGTCCCGTAGCTGGCCTGCTGGGGCCGCGGGAAGCCGAAGCTGCGCACGCCGGGGTCGGGGAGGCCCCCGCAGCGCGGCCGCGGCGCGGCGATGGGGAAGCGCACGCTGCCGTCCGCCAGCCAGCCGCCGTCGCACTGGTCCAGCCCCGAGAACTTCCAGGCCGCGTACAGGTGCCCGACCTTCGCCACCTCGGCCCCGCGCCGCCGGCAGGCCGCCTGGGCCTCAGACAGGGTCAGCCGCCCGGGCACGAAGAACACGCGGCCTGGGGACGGAGCGGGTCACGGACGGGCCGGGAGCAGGGCGTGCGGGGTGCAGCGGGGATGCGGGCTGCCGGCGAGGGCGAGGCTGCGGAAAGCGGAAAGCGGGCCGGGCTGGGTGGGAGGCGTGGGCAGGGGCGCGGGTGGGGCTGCGGGAAGCGGGCTGGAGCGAGTGGGCGGAGCGAGGCGGGGCCAGGCCTCCAAGAGACAGCCCTGCGGGTGCGGGTCCCCAGCCCCAAGGGTTTCACTTTCCCCGCCCCTATCAGCCAGACCCCGCCCCATCCGCCAGAACCCGCCCACCATCCAGCCCCGCCCCCATCCGCCAGGCCCCCGCCCCTCCCTCAGACCCCGCCCCCAGAGCAGCTCTCGCTCCGTCCCGATCCGTCAGACCCCGCCCCACCCGCCAGACCCCGCCCCCGGCGCCGCGCTCGCCGCCCCTCACCTGCCTGCGTTGAGGTGAAGCAGAAGGCGTCGTAGCGGTCGCGCTTCCGGTCGCGGGGCCCGTAGCTGCGGATCCCAGGCCGACCGTGGCCGCCGCACGGAGCACGCGCGGTAAGCACAGGGTAGTGCACGGACCCCTCGAGCAGCCAGCCCGCGTTGCACCAGTCCAGCCCCTCGGTCCACGCTGGAGGGAGAAGGGGGATTAGAGGGTCGGGGCCCCGTTAGCCCGGAGGGGACCCAGGCGGTGCCCGGGGCCGCTCACCCTGGTACAGCTGGGCGTAGGTGGCCAGGCGCCCGTCCTGCTCCTCGCACGCCTGCTTCGCCTCGTAGTAATTGAACTGGTACCTGCCCCGGCTGGGCTGGTACGGAAACACCACACCTGTGGGGTGGCAGAAGGCCTGGGGAGGGCGAGCAGACGAAGGAAGGGGAAGGAAAGGCGGGGCAGCCTGGCCCAGAGGGCGCGGGAGATGCTGAAGGAGGAGCCCAGGGATCCCCGAATCCGCCCCCCGCCCTCTCCCCCGCTGGAGAGGAGGGGCTGGAACCCCGGGCCTCACCCTCCAGGCGCAGGGTCAGCGCCACGCTCTCGTCCTCGATGCCGTTGATGAGCTCACAGCGGTAGCGGCCCTCGTCCTCCAGGCGCACGCCCGCAATGACCAGGGAGGCGTCTAGCCGATGCCCCCTCCGCATCCTGGCTCGGCCCTCCAGAGCCCCGTAGCTCCGGGCGTGCAGTCCGTTGGTGATGAGGATGGAGGTTTGCCGGAGCTCCCCGGGCTCCACTTTGCTCCAGCGCACCTTGTAGCTGGGAGGCAGGGTGCCCAGGATGCAGGGCAGCGTGGTCGTGGCGCCACGACGAGAGTGAATGACTTCGTGGATGGGGGGCAGGAGGTAGTGGGGGCCCCGGTAGGATGCTGAGCAGAGGGGGCCACAGTGGCAGGAACCCCCTGACCCCCACTGTGCCAAGTGCCCATCCAGACCCTGTTCCCCCGCCAGCCCCATTCTCTCCTCTGCCCACTCAGCAATCACTTCTCACTCCCTGGGCACCTCCAGCAGTGCCTTCCCCACTTTCCCCACTCCGGGCGCTTCTCTCCCACAGATTCCGGGCGGGAGCTGAGATCTTACCTGGGTCGCCGAGGGCTTTCTGGGAGGTGGCGAAGGCCCCCAGGAGGAGGAAGTGACAGAGAGTGGGGAGACTGAGCCAGCGGTGCATGATGGGGAGTCAGCCTAGCTGGGTCTAGAGGCACAAAGGGTGGGCATTCTTTAGGACTAAGAGAGTGAGGACAGGGTGGGGAAAGCAGGGGTGGCGTAAACTCCCCGCAGGGATTCCTCAGAGGGACTGGGGCAGTAAAAGGGGGCTTATGTTCATGGCAAAAGGAAAGGGGGAGGCGAAGGGGGTCCATAGCAACCACACCCCCACCTTGCCCATCCTTCTTCCTCTCTCCCACCCCCAGTCAGCAGGTCCTCTTTCCATCCCCTTCTCATCACAAGGACCACTCCCCAGGTTTTGCCATCTGGATTGTCCGCTCCCGTCTCTATCCTCTCCCAGCACGCCTGACCATCGGAAGCCGGAGTGAATGTGTCCTGCTTAAGACAGTCTCTCCCTGTTGCCCTAAGAACAAAGCCCAGTTGCTCTGTGATCCAGCCTCTCCCTGCACTTGGCCACCCGTGCCTTCTGCACTGCGCTCCACACTTGGACTTCTGGCTCCAAAATAGTCCAAGTTCACGCTCACCTCCTCACAGACATCAGTTTGGGCCTCACCTCCTTTGGGAAGCCTTTTCTCTCCCCGCCCCCACCCCCGCCCAGTTCACCGCACTTGTCCAATTCCCCCGCTGCACTGGATTGGGGATTTCCCCCCCTAAGGAGTACTTTTTTTTTTTTTTTTAATATATTTTATTGATTTTTCACAGAGAGGAGGAGAGAGAGAGTTAGAAACATCGATGAGAGAGAATCATCGATCAGCTGCCTCTTGCACACCCCCTACTGGGGATGTGCCCGCAACCAAGGTATATGCCCTTGCCCGGAATCGAACCCGGGACCTTTCAGTCCGCAGGCCGACGCTCTATCCGCTGAGCCAAACCGGTCCCGGCCCTAAGGAGTACTTTTATCAGCAGCTAAGTCAGCAGTGTGAGTTTGAAATACATCTGTATATGTAGTAAGGTTTCCAGGAATTATAAAGTATAAAGTTACAAAAAAGATTTCAAACATAGTTGTCTATTTCAGTAGTTCTTTTCTCCTTTATTATATATCTTCATCACCTTGATATTTATTTTGAAAACTGAGGACCCCTTAACCTCGTTTTATTCATTTTAAAAATCTGATTCCTCCACTTCCTAACTGCATGACTTTGAACAGATTACTTAACTTCTCTCTTACTCAATGTCCTGATTAGTAAAATAGGGATAATAATGCACACCTCTTACTTACTGAGAAGTTGTGAGGATGTGAGGAAAAATAACATACACAAACTGCTTAAAAGAGTGTCTGCTATGTCGTAGTGCTATGTATGTGTTTGCTCATTTCTGCAGCTCCCAGCATAGTTTCTGGCATACAGTAGGTGCTAAGTTAATATGTGTTGTTAATGAATGAGCTCGTATGCAGGACTTCTGGGAAGGAGAGCTGGGACATGGTGAGAGGGAGGAAATACTGAAGAGGAGCCAGAAAGCTTAGGACCTGAGCCCCATCTTTCTGCAAATGGAGGTCAAAGACGACCTTGCAGAAAGAGAAATGGGAGTTAGGCACAGAAAGGACTTCCCCACGGCTAATAGGAAAAGTGTCTGGGACAGGGACACAAACAAGAGAACCAGTTCCGTCCAGGAGAACCTGGTAAGCAGAGTGATAGTGGGGACAGACTCACCAAGGAGCTAATAGTAATAGCTGTCATTCACATGCCTGAGACGGCTCTAAGCTCTTTACGTGTGTACTTTCATATTCACACCTGTCAGCAATTCTACAAGGTAGGAACGATGATTGAACCCCATTTTATATACTCACACAAAGGTGCATGCATTTTAGTAAACTTGAGTGGAGTCAAACAGCTTGTAAGAGGAGGGATTTTCTGGGATTTGAATCAGGATCTGACTGATGCTTCATTCCTTAATGACTGATCTATATTTCTGCATTTTAGATCAAGTGCACCTGCACTCCTTACAGAGAGAGAGAGGCCAGCAGCAGCTCTAGCACCTACCTGTTACAAGCTGGTCTCTTTGCAGAGATGGAGAGAGCCAGGACGGGCAGCTTTTTGTCCTGCTGGAGGAAGAGGTTCCGGGTGAAGGAGTTGCCACTGGGAGGTCCAAATACCTCAGAGCCCTGGACTTGGGCATCTGGTCAGTGCAGTCGCTCCTTTTGCACTTTTGAGCTCACAGGAAAAGCTGAGGGTCCAAGCACTCCATGACCCGTTATTTCTCCGAGCCAGGCTCAGTGGTCACAGGGCTGGACCCGGGCCACTATATCTGCAGTGCTCACTGCCCTGGGCCCAGGGGAAGATGCTGGGTGTGGGATAGGGGGCAGGGACCCATTCAGGGGTGTGGAGAAGAGGAGGCAACCAGAAACGACCACCTGCAAGAGTACAGAGAGTGAGGTGCCGGGTTCATCACGCTCTTGAACCAGAGCAGGGTATTGATGGGTGGGTAGGAGGATGTTGGACCAATAGGCATAGGAATGAGGCTCCGTAGCTGTCAAGCTCCAGATGCCTGCATTTTTCCATATGGGCTCCTGATTCATCTGCAGAAAAAGGTGCTGGGCCAACAATCTTGGCTTCATGGGTACTAACTCCTTAATAGGCCAGAACTTAGAAAACCCAGAGGAGCTGTGGGGAATGGAGCACCCCTCCCCTCCTCCTTTCCCTCCTCTTTTCCCCACCGCAGTCCTCACCTCTGCCCTCCGGTGCCTGGGTGCGCATCGCCGACGGGAAGAGACTCAAGGTGGGAACCAGCTGCTTCGAGAAACCTAACCCCTTCTGTCCAGCCCCCCATCTGTCAATCTGTCTGTCCTGTCCTTCTCTGTCCCCACCCCATCAGAAGCACAATTCCCCATTGTCCCCATCTCTCCCCCATTGTTGAACAACAGGGGCCCCTTTCTTTGTCCTCTGGGTAAAGGCAATAAACTGTCAACAGCTGGGGATGTGGGATGCAGGACCGGCTGGCACACACCACCGGAAGAAGGGTCTGGGTGGGGGTGGGCTTGGCACAGAAACTGACATCCCCGAGGAGAACAGAAGGAGATGGGGGGCAGAGAATGGTCAGTGAGAAGGTTGAAATGGGGTCTCCTTCCATACCGTAAGCTTCGAGGCTTTAGAGAGAGCTTGTGTGAGGAGAACAGGAGGAGATGGGGGGCAGAGAATGGTCAGTGAGAAGGTTGAAATGGGGTCTCCTTCCATACCGTAAGCTTCGAGGCTTTAGAGAGAGCTTGTGTGAGGCTGGGCTCCGTAGAGGGCAGAGTGTGCGGTTAGAGTTACAATAGGGGAGAGGGAGATTAGTCTGCAAGGAGGATTTTTCTGTTCCCAGGAAGGAACATGAAATGGGAATGTCTGAGGCGGGAAGGATTTGGGAAGCTCTTCAAGATAGTGGTCATGTTATTTTTTTCCCTACTTCCCTACCTCCTATTTCAGCAGAGGTGCATAATCTTAAAGTTCTCAAGGGAACTTACCTGGGTAGAAATTCACTTCTCTCGAGTCTTTCTTGTTAGGAAGTTTTTTATTTTTTTTCTGAAGTCTAAACTCCTATTGGAGTTCAAGCTCATTTTAAAAACCTTCCTAAGGAGGTGTAATTTACAGGCAACAAAACGCACAGCTCAATCAACGTTGATATGTGCAGACGCCCATGTAACTACCTCGCTCCCCCATCAAGACATAGAACCTTTCCAACACCCAGAATAAGCAAGCACATTTCTGTTTTGTTTGCTATCAATGCAGAGGGAGGACTCCTTCCATTAACAGCCATTTGGAAATGTTCTGAGCTTCCAATTGCCGCTCAGCCTTCTTTCATCTCTGCTGAGCAACCACACACCAGTACTTCTGTGTTTCCGAACTGGAGGGAACTTCGGGATGCTTAGTCTCCTGGGTTACCAGAGGAAGAGGAGGTGGGGAGGGGAAGGGACTTGCCCAAGACCTTGCAGAAGGCAGCTGTTGAGTCAAACCTAGAACTTGCTGCTCCCCCCCCCCCCCCCCCCCCCGCCCCAGTAATCCCTCTCCACTCCTCTCCTTGGCCCTCCATGTTGGAAGAGCTCCAGGGTTTTGACTGTAGATCTAACAAGAGCTCACCCCCATGGACTTGATTGACTGTCTTTCCCTCCCTTCGGCTCCATCCCTGTTTCTAAGTCCTTCCCTCCTCCCAGAGCGGACAAACAAAGAAGACAAATAACCCCTGTCTCCTGGGCCAGGACACCCTGAGCCAGTGCATCTGATTGGCTTCCACCCAACTCAAACAAACAGCTTCCCACAGGGAGGGGGCGGGTCTAAAGCAAAGGCTCCCCAGCCCGTCCTACCATCACTCCCGGGCCCACGCCTCACCCACCGTCCTTTCTCCCTAGATCACTTCGGGACTGTGGTTTAGACGTCTCCAGTAGGTAAGTCCATAACAGGCTGAGTTTGGCATGGAGGTAAACCTAGAACTGTTTGATAGATGCCAAAAGAACCGTTTCCGGATAGAATGAGAAAGGAACAGACCAGGAATAAACATAGTAAATAGTCAAGCTATTTACGCTAACATAGTGGTTAGTGTGCTCACGGTCATTTTCATTCTCAGTTTTTCCCAAGGCACTGCAAAGTAGGAATCCAGTAAGACCGCTTGGGCTTGAGTTGGCAGCTTTTCACTGAATTAGCATCTTTTAAAGAGAGAGTTTTGCCACTTCTGCTACCTACTGACCAGAGGGAGGTGGAATCATCTAGAACAAGCATGAAGTCCTGCAATCAGATGCACGGGCACATTTGGCTGACTAGTTTTCTTGACTCCTGATGATGGCATGATCCCAGTTTATTACTGGGAATGTCACATGAAGGACTGGAAGATTTGGCAAAATGGCACTTTAGGGAAAAAAACAGGGAGGGAACAGTGCCTGACGCATGCAACACACTCAATACATTTTGGCCCTTATTATTGGGGGTGGGGAGAGACACCAAAGAGAATAGAATCAATCAAAACAGACACTAACTGCTTGATTTTAAAGGATCACCTAATTTTAAAAAATACATAAAAATTACACAAAAGTCCATGTCCCACTTATTTATTATTTTTTTTTTATAACAAAAGTAATACCTACACACAGTAAAAAAGAATTCAACCACTACTAAAGGGGTAAAATAAAAAGCAGAGTGCTCTTTCCTTCCTTCTCACTTCCACCTATAACTATTAAACCATTGTTAAACTTCTCTCGGTCAGAAGTTTTTAAGACTACAATTCCTGGCTGGTTTGGCTCAATGGATAAAAGCATTGGCCTGGGGACCAAAGGGTCCCAGGTTCGATTCTGCTCAAGGACAAATGTCTGGGGTTGCAGGCTCGATGCCCAGCAGCGGGCAGGCAGGAGGCAGCCAATCAATGATTCTCATCATTGATGCTTCTATCTCTCTCTTTCCCTCTATGAAATCAATAAAAATATATTTTAAAAAGACTATGAGAATGCAGATAAGTAGAAACATACCATATGCATTTATTCTTTTTAAAATTTATTTTAGAGAGAGGAAGGAGAGAGAAACATTGATTTGTTGTTCTATTTATCTATGCATTTATTGATTGACTAGAGACCCAGTGCATGAAAATTCATGCACTGGAGGGGGTGGTCCCTCAGCCCCGCCTGCCCCCCTCACAGTCCAGGAGCCCTGAGGGGTGGAAAGCAACTCAGCGATCAGGGGAAGGCAACACCCCCATCACACCTCTGCTGCTGCCACTGCCAGCAGCGCAAGTCTTGGCCAGCCCTGATTACCTGAGCCTCAGGTGGCTCTGGGCAGCTGCAATACAAGGCTTGCCTGTGCCTTGGGCCAGCCTTGGGCGGCTTGGGGGGCTGAGGGGATTGGGGGACTCTGGAGGCAGGCATGCGGAGTGGCCAGACCCGCCTGGGGGCGGGCCCAACCATGCTGCACACCTGCTGCCCGGTGAGCTGAGTGGACTGGGTGTTGCCATCTTGTGGCTATGGGCACCACCATTGTTGAGGGCGTGACAGACGATTGGCATATTTCCTCCTTATTGGCTGTGGGTGCTACCATCTTTGTGAGGGCATGATGGTCAATTTGCATATCCCATTTTTATTAGAAAGGGTTCTTCTATGCATGTGCCCTGACCAGGGATCTATCCTGCAACCAACTGAGTTACCTGTTCAGGGTCCATATATTCTTTTCTTTTTTTTTTTTTAATATATTTTTTTATTGATTTTACACAGAGAGGAATTGAGAGGGACAGAGAGTTAGAAATGTCGATGAGAGAGAAACACCGACCAGCTGCCCCCTGCACTGGGATGTGCCTGCAATCAATGTACATGCCCTTGACCAGAATCGAACCCGGAACCTTTCAGTCCGCAGGCCGACGCTCTATCCACTGAGCCAAAACGGTCCCGGCCATATATTCTTTTTAATTCAATTGAAATCATATCATACAAACTGTTCCCTATCTTACTTTTTTCACCTAATAATATGTTTTGAGAATTTGTCCTGTCAGCACTTGACATAAAACTTCATTTTTTTTTCATCTGCAGAGTATTCCAGTGAGTGACTATAGCATAATTTATTTAATGAGATGCCTATTGGTGAACATTTAGGATGCTAGAGGTTGGGACCATTAATCACCAGGGAAAAAATTGAGTCCATAACTCGGAATGGCGGTCAGGCCAGGCCGGTGTGCGCCTTCCGAGAGCCATATCCTGCAGCGGCCTGCTGCTTCTGTCAATACATTTATCCTAGAATAAATATTATGGCTTTTATTATTCTCTCTCCTCACCCCCAATTAGGGATTCGGAAGCTTGGATATGGGGAAGCACCGGGTCCAAATGGATGCTCAAACCTCCCACTTAACTCCTTGCAGGTGGAAAAAAAATATACAAAAACACACACACAGATTTAGGTTCCAGTCTCCTCACTCACATGAAAGGACCAAGCTAGGACCCAGCCGATGTGGCTCAGCTGGCTGGAGGGTCACCCTCTGCACCAAAAAGGCTGCAGGTTCCATTCCTGGTCAGGGCACCTACCTAGGTTTCGGGTTTGATCCCCAGGTGGGACATATACGGGGAGCAACCAATGAATATTTCTCTCCTACATCTGTGTCTCTCTCTTTCATTTCAAAATCCATAAAAACATATCCTTGGGTGGGGATAAAAAAAGAAGAAAAAAAAAGGCCAATCTAAGACATCCAATCCTGCCACTTGGGGAGCTTTACAATTCAGGACTCCCCCTTTTCTGCAACCAGAGTCTCACTGAATGTTACTGGTCTGGGATGGATATTATCCTCGTCCTCCAGTTGCTGTCATGGGCAGCCAAAGCTGAAACCCACTGAACTAACCAAAGAGAGGTGATCAGGAAGCTCCCTCAGCCCCAGAATGACCACCTGACACCCCCACCATGAGCAAGGTACCCTCCAAGCACTGGCCTCAAGGAGCACAAACCTATGATGGGATTAATGAAGTTGATGGGATTATCTAAATTTAACAGTTAATTGTAGACAATTTAACAGACATAAAATCATTTAAAAAAATTATCTTTGTTGTTGAAAGTATTACAGATATTCCCTTTGTTTTCTTTCCCATTGATCCCCTCCACCCTGAACCCGCCCCTTCCAGGCCTTACCCACACTATTGTCTGTGTCCATTGGTTATGCATATATGCATGTAAATTCCCCGGTTCATATCTCCACATAAAATCATTTTAAAAAATAAAAGTTCCGCTGGGACTGGTTTGGCTCAATGGATAGAGCGTCGGCTTGGGGACTGAAGGGTCCTGGGTTCGATTCCAGTCAAGGGCGTGTACCTTGGTTGCGGGCACATTTCCAGGGGGGGGTGTGCAGGAGGCAGCTGATCGATGACTCTCTCTCATCGATGTTTCTAATTTTCTGTCTCTCTCCCTTCCTCTCTGTATGAAATCAATAAAATATATTTTTAAATAATAATAATAATAATAATAAAAATAAAATAAAAATTCCCTAGCTAGTTTGACTAAGTGGATAGAGTATTGGTCTGCGGACTGAAAGATCCCAGGTTTGATTTCAGTCCAGGGCATGTGCCTGGTTTGAGGGCTGGGTCCCCAGTGTGGAGCATGCAGGAGGCAGCCGATTGATGTTTCTCTCTTATCATTGATATTTCTATCTTTCTATACCTCTCACTTCCTCTTAGAAATCAAGAAAGATAAATTTTAAATAAATAAATAAATAAATAAATAAATAAATAAATAAATAAATAAATGCTATACCTGAGATCCACAGCAGGTGGCGAAAGAAGACTGCATTACCACTCAGACGCTCTAACCACTGCGCCACCAACCAGGGCACTATGTGGCATACTGTATTTTCTAACTAAAATTAATTCTATGGCCGAGACCGGTTTGGCTCAGTGGATAGAGCGTCAGCCTGAGGACTGAAAGGTCCCAGGTTTGATTCCGGTCAAGGGCATGTACCTTGGTTGCAGGCACATCCCTGGCAGGGGGTGTGCAAGAGGCAGCTGATCGATGATTCTCTCTCATTGATGTTTCTAACTCTGTCCCTCTCTCTTCCTCTCTGTAAAAAATCAATAAAATATATTAAATAAATAAAAAATAAATAAAATTAATTCTATGGGCGATAATTTATGGACATAAGGTAGTATGACAACTGAGCAATCATGATAAAGCTTTACTATGAAATGGCAGTTTTCCTTTTTTGAAGTTCCTAGGAAGCGTTAATTTAACATAACTACTGATCTAGGGAGGCAAGTGACGGATACTTTTTTCAGGTTTTAGTTCTTGGGTGGCTCGGTGAAGCCTAGGAACAGTTGGGGGTGGGGTGGGGTGAGGATGCTGACTTCTTTGCAGTATCTTCTTTCCCTTTTCTGCCTAAGGCCAGTCCAAACCCCTCATTCTGGCTTGCATTCCGGATCGCACATCTCTCTCCATGCCCCACCCCTAGTCTCCTTCAGTCCCACTTAGGATCCCAACTTTCCCCGAATAGGTACTCCTGAAGTCAGGGCTCGTGTCTTATGCACATTTTATCACCAGTACCAGAAGGACAGGCCCTGGCACACAGGTGTGAGTCAAAAATGTTTGTTGGACCTGCTGAAACCTCTAATCTCTAGGCTTTTATCAATAACTTTGCCCAGGAAATTCACCCCAACGGTGCTACCTCCTTAGCCTCCACCAATATCTAGGGCGCACTCGATGCTTTTTCCTTCCCCGTATTCGTGCCAGGGACTGGCTCAGCGTTGGACCCACGGCTGTTTCCGGTATCTCAGCACCTAGGTGCCCTGGTCGCTCGGACACTGCAGGTGGGCAGTGCGTGGCCCCGCCCCCAACCTCCGGAAATGGGCGCGCTCTGAGGCCGAGTTTCTATAGCAACCACACCAGCCAATGGGCCCTCCCCCGGACAGTTTCTCCTGGGAGGACCAGGACTTGGGTTTCCGCATTCATCTCTATGGTTTCGACAGCCTAGAAGGACCAAAGCAGTACTTCCGGGAAGGCGGCGGCTCACCAGTCAGACCGGCACATGCTTCCGCCGGGAGGCCCCGCGGTGACGGTAAGGGGCTGCTGTCCCCTGAGGGGCGCCAGTTGGAGCCCGGGCCCTCGAGGGCAGTGTCATCCAAGTAAAACCGCGGCGGAGGCGGAGGGGGCTGGGATTTAGACCTCCAAGGAAGGAGGCCCAGGGGAGAGGTAGCCGGCTCTTCAGATCCGCAAGAGAGAGGCCCAGGACCACTAATCCAGAAAACCGGGTTGGCTGGAGAGGACACAGTGCCTGAGAGCGTGCTCGCAGCCTTCCCAGGGACCGGCGCACAGCCTGGGACCTAGTCGCGTCCGTCCACAGGTGTCCATGGTAAGCCACAGCAATGCCCACCTGTGCCATTCATTCAGTTTCAACAAATGGCTGAACGCGTTCTCGGGTCCTGGCGCGGCACGAAGGGCACCGAGGCTGGGGAATAAAGGTCTCTGACTCCAGGGCGTATTGTTTTGAACGACCGCGACAAGGGACCGGCAGTGGGAATGCTGCAGAAACCACAGAGAGCTGTAAGAGACTGAGGAATGTGGTCATTAACGCCGGTCCTGGAATGCCTGAGACCCTGGAGGCAGTACATGCCAGTTATTTGATTTGGGCAAGTAATTAAACTTTGCAGTGCTATTTCTTCGTTTGCGGATTACAGAAATACCATGTCCTAAAAGGGTTGTTGGGAGGATTAAATGAGATAATCTGTGTTAAGCAATTAGCAACAGGCAGTCATAGAGTAAATGCCTAAGTATTATTATTATTACTGAAATTTGGGAGCTGATAGGTCATAGATAACTTCTGAGAGGAAGCAGAGTTTTGAGGTGGCCTTAAAGACTTCAGAGTTTGAATTTTACTTTGACAGTCTTTGAAGCATGATAGGGCCATTTCTTCACTCAATGCTTTTCTTTTTTTAAAATATATTTTTATTGATTTCAGAGAGGGAGAGAATCATTAATTGGTTGCCTCCTAGAAGCCCCCTACTGGGGATTGAGCCTGCAATCCCGGCATGTGCCGTGACCAGAATCAAACATGAGACCCTTCTATTTGCAGGCCAACGCTCTATCCACTGAGCCAAACTGGCTAGGGCTTCACGCAGTGCTTTTCTGTGGGACTGTCAAGGTATCTGCTAGGTTTACAGGTGATTGTTCTTCACAGTAGAAATGTAAACAGAAATGTGAGTCACTCTGAATCTGCTATTTTCAAACCTAACCAGACTGGTCATCATTTTTTTAAATGTTTTTATTGATTTTAATAGAAGAAGGGGGCTGGGGGATAGAATTGGCTGTGTCCTGCATGCCCTCTACTGGAGATCGAGCCCACAACCCTGGGCATATGCCCTGACCTGGAATTGAACTGGTGACTTCTTGGTTCATGGACAACACTCAAACCAACTGAGCCACAGTGGCTGGGCTTGTCATCATTCTTAAGTCTAATATATAATGTTTAGGAGGGGTGACTTAATGATGTACCTCAGCCTGGTGGAGGGGGGAAGAAATGAGGAACCTTTGTAATAATATGAACAATAAAGATTGATTTAAAAAAAAAAAAAAAAAAAGAGGAGTGCTTGAACAAGATGGAAAACAGGGCAGTGGGGAAGAGGTGTGTAGCGCCCCCACTGAAAGGCAGTGTAAATGCTAGGACATAGGTATAGGATATGGGCTCTATTAAGTCCTGTTATAACTCAGGTTAACAAGCAGCTTATCGCTTGGCTCTTACATGGGAGAAGTTTTCATGTACTGGCAGAGTGGGGACTGCACACAAGCTGCCTGGGTTTGAGTTTTACACACAATTAGCTGTATGACCTTGAACAAGTCATCTAACCTCTTTAGACCTCAGTTTCCTCATTTTTAAAATAGAGATAATCATACTTTTCTGGAGGTAAAGTTCAGAAAATCTTCCTGGGGTGGGAAGATTAAGTGACATGATTCATGTAAGGCCTTAGCACAGCCTGGCATGCAGTGAGCTCTCCCTAAGTGTATGTATTACTTTTTTTTTATGTGTGTGTGTATTACTTTTTGACATGTTGGCATTGACCTCTCTGTGGTTAGACAGGGAGCTCCCCAAGGACCAGGGCTCCTTCCTCTGTCTCTGCCTCAGTTTCAGGAAAGAATTCTCCTAAGAGCAATCAGGATGGATGTGATGTATGATGGCTCTCTCCTTTCTTCTTAAAGGGATGATAAGTGACCTTTTCTTCTCTGGTGAGGACCTGAGGACAGGGACTCTTTTCTCAACATGAAGGCCACCCCGGAGGTTAGGAGTCATGGGATGAAGTTTGCTGAGCAGCAGCTGCTAAAGCATGGATGGACTCCAGGTGATCCCCATGGGTACCTTCCACATGGCCCCAATTCCCTGCCTACCCTCTGCCCAAGGGAGAGGCATCATTCTGGATTAACCCTATGCAGTCCACTCAATTGGAGGAGGAAAATTAGCTTATGGGGAAATTTGCAGAAAATTTCTGACTTTTCCCAAAAAGGGGAGAAGAGGAAGAAATTTGACAGTGGGCATGAAGAAGTGGTTGGGAGCCTGGGGCAGAGGGGAAGAAACACAACTCTCTCCTGAAAGAATTATAGAGGAAAAGCTCGGGCTCAGGTAACAGCAGGGGGCCTGAGTGGAGAGGTGTCAGAAAGAATGGAACTTGGAGGGCTTCCGAGAGGGATAGAGCTTGCCCAGTGCTACCAGTGGCATGTGTTGGGGTGCCGTGAGAGAGCCTGGGGCAGGCAGAGTAAGCTCAGTCACTCACTGTCTTCTGCAGGCAAAGGCCTGGGCCGGAAGGAGAATGGCATCACCCAGGCCCTCAGGGTGACGCTAAAGCAGGACACTCACGGGGTAAGACTGGGCAGGCTGAGGGGGGATGGATGGGAGAGAGCGGGAACTGTTAGAACAGGGAAGCAGGTTCAGAGTTCATGCTTCTTTCTCTGGCAGGTGGGACACGACCCTGGCAAGGAGTTCACAAACCACTGGTGGAATGAGCTCTTCAACCAAACGGCAGCCAACTTGGTAGTGGAAACTAAGCAGGTATGAATTCTAATAGGCGGCATGGGAAACATGAGGGCCTGGAGGTGCGGGAGCAGGGGTCTGTCACCCACTCACTGAAACTCCCCCACAGGATGGAGTACAGATAAGGCGCCTTTCTAAGGAGACCACCCGCCATAATCGCCCCAAGCCCAACATGCTGTATCAGAAGTTTGTGAAGGTATTGGAGGCTGGGGGTGAGAGGTTCATTCTTTTCCTTCCTTCCTTGGGGCCTGGACAGCTGCCTTGTGTGCCCTACATATTCTCAGGATTGTCCTAACAGTGGGATCCTGTGACCAAACTTGCTGTTGCTTCCTAGTAATTAGACTGCCCAGATCCTAAGCAAGAATTGGGGTGAGGGGATAGGAGGCACAACAACGGAGTGGGTGGTAGGGCATAGTCAGGAGCTGCCAAAGGTGGGGCAAGAGGGCCTTGCTGAAGAGCCTACAGTTGGCTAGTAATGGCAGATAGGACTGGAACCCAGGTCTTCATATTCCCACCTACTAAGCATGTCAGTAGAAGGGAGCTAATATTTAATGGTCACCATCTCGTTCTTATTCCACTCTGTATCCTTGGCCCACAGTTGGTTCTCAATCTGGTCAAATAAAGCACTGTACATGGGTGTTGGGGATGGGGGGGAAGGTGCCATCTTTATTGCCAAGATACATGGACCATGTATGGGATGACCACCCGGGGACACTTGTCCCATTGTGATGGCCCTTTCTCCCTGCTGGGGCCCACTAGCCAGGGAGGCCAGGGCTGCTCTCCCCACCTCCCACAGCCCTTCTGCCCGTGCTCAAGTATGCAGCTCGGTGCACCTCTGTGGTCTGCAAGGAGCTGCTATTGGGGGCTGGCAAATTTGTGCCTCCGGGTGTGAGTTCCTGGGGAGGCTTCGGGAGGGGAAGGGATAGCAGCGGTGTGTTGTGGGCCTTGTCTTCCTAGACTGCCACACTGACCTCAGATGGGGAGAAGCCAGACAAGGACGTGGAAAGCTGCAGTGAGGATGACAACCAGGACCCCCAGCCTCCAAAAATGTGAGGCTTCCTTTCAACACCGGGGCAAGTGGGAGGAGATGCTGCAGATCTCAAGAGGAAGGCCCAGGTCTAATAATGCTTGAAGGGGGCTTCTTCGGGGCGAACTGCGTTGTACTAATCCTCGTATCTCCTGCGCCTGGAAAAGTGCCAGGTCCTGAACAGTGTAGAAGGAATGTTTCAGAGGGGAGGAGAGGTCAAGCGTTCCCACCAGATCTGTTTGTAATCTCTCATCTCCCCGCCCCAACCCTCCACAGTCTGACTGATGAGATGCTGCTCCAAGCCTGCGAGGGTCGAACAGCGCACAAGTAAGTAGTTACTCGTTAGCTCCTGGGTCTCCCTTTTCTCCCTGTCACAAGCCCGTCCCTGAGGATGGCCGATACCACTTCTTGACTTTTTCACCCCAGGAACGTGATTCATACTATCTGCCCCTATCTGAAGCTGCTTTAAGATAGTTCCTCCCCTACCAGTTTCCCTTACAGTCTCAAGAATTAGGCTTTTTCCTGATGCCCACCCTCTGACTTTGACCCTATTTCAGGGCTGCCCGTCACGGAATTACGATGAAGGCTAAGCTTGCTCGTTTGGAGGCCCAGGAACAGGCCTTCCTGGCTCGGCTCAAAGGCCAGGACCCTGGAACCCCTCAACTGAAGACTGAGAGCAAAGCCCTCAAAATAAAGAAAAAGAAACAGAAAGAGGAAGAAGGGGCTACAGCAACTGAAAGGAAAGCAGACAAGGAGTATCCAGAATACACTGACCAGAGCATCAGGAAAAGCAAGAAGAAAAGACAACTTCAAGATAAGAAAGCGGGGACACCTGTAGAGGAGGAAGAGGTCGCAGAAACAAAAGGGCTTGGGGAACTAAAGAGCAGAGAACAAACTGACTCATCCCCCAGGAAAAGGAAGAAAAAGAAGAGGCAGCGCCATGAAGAGGAGACGCGGGGGGTCTTAGGTAAGGGAGGAGGCAAGGAGGATGGAGGTGGCATCAGAACAGGGAAGGTAGAGAGCCGAACACACACTGACTCACGTAGCAGAAGCAAGAGGCAGCCGTGCGAGGAGGAGGGAGACCTGGACACAGAGGATGAGGGAGTCGGGGAAGCTGCTGCGGATGGTGGGACCAGGGAAGCAGAGAGCAGAGCGTGCGGCGGTAAGAAAAGCAGAAGCAAGAAAAGACACCGGCATCAGGAGGAGGGAGTCTTGGACATAAGCGATGGACATGAGGATGGCGGGACTAGGGAAGCGGAGGGCAGAGCACACCCTGGCTCAAGCAGCAGAGGTCAGAAGAGGAGGCAGCAGCAAGCAGAGGAGGAAAGGGCCACAGGCAGCACTGACCAGAGAGCAAAGAAGAAGAAGAAGCGGGAGAAGAGAGACTGAAGGTCAGGTGCGGGTGTCCTCAATCAGTTTCTTTCCAGTTGTGGTGGAGGCCTCCTGCACCTTTCCAGGGAGGAGTCCTTCCCGAGGAGGACCAGCTCTGGATACCAGCATGCCGAGAGGAGAGCAGTACACCTGCCTTAGCTGAGGGAAAGGGCTTCTTCCCCTTTGCAGCTCCTAACCCAGAGATCATGAACTCAGGTGCCCATCGGAGCCAGGCAGCCCAGGGACAAGGAGTGCTGGGGGCTGTGGGAATAGGAACGCAGGTCCCTTTGAGGGGGAATCCTTGCTGAAAGAAACTAAACATGTTGACTTATGTGATATGTCCTGACTCTTAAATATTGTGACGCTAAGGAAAACACAGATCCCGTTCTGTGAGCTGCTTTCTAACACTCTGCCAAATGAGTCAATAAACGTCAGCTTGGGCTCCTAGCCTGTCCATCAGTCCTGACCGGCATCTCCATTCCCAGCCTGGGAAGGTCCTAAATACAAATTGTTTCCTTGTCTACTTTGAAGAAATTCCTTCTGTTAACCTTCTGGGGTCTTGCTACGTTGTTGAATGGAAGGGGAAAGCTAAGAGAACCTCATCCAGTGTCCTATGTCCCTAAGGGGTAAGAATTATGTGTGTATAAAGGACAAGCATTGCGAGACTTTTCCAGCATCCGAAAGTATTTAGTGCCTCAAATGCCACAGCAGCTTCTCTTGCTTGTTCTTCCCCAAAGAGGACACCATATCCAATGTTGCAGGCCACCCATTAACCTTTATTGCCAGGAGAGCTTTCTGGTTTCCACCGTTCTGAGAGAGAGAGAGGCACTGAGTCTTTATTGGGAAGAACAAACGTCTGCCTTCCCTCACTGCAGACGGTATACACACTCAGTGTCGGGGTACGCTGGCAGATTCAGCTGGTACTTCTTTTCCAGAGCACGTGGTACGAAACGGCCCCCCAGGTAGTGGTAGCGACCAGTGAAGTGGGTGGCAGACTTTTTAGGTGCAGTCAGGGAGATGAGCAAGTCTGGCTGGATCCCTCCAGGGTTTCCCTTCTCCACATCCCATCCTGAAAAGAGGGTTGTATTCAGGAAGAGCAGAAGAGGCCAGATGTCTGTCTAGTCTTCCAAACCTCGCTCTACCCTAGTCCTAAAGAAACGGGGAGCCCCATGAAGGACTACATCCTCACCTGAGGAATTGGAACCCTGGAGCTCCACATATCCCTAGGCTTTGGTCTCTTGGAGCCAACATGCAAAGGGTACTCCTGAACTCTGCTCCCAGCTGTATTCTGCACCTCTACACTCATTTTAGACTTGGTTCGAGCCTTGGGTCAAGAATCAGGATTCCTAGGTACCTACCTCAAAACAGGGCAGGGCCCCTATCCCAACCTCCTTGAACCCAGCACCTGAGGGAATGTCGATGCTGGCAATGGGCACAGTGAGTCCACTCAGGACACTCAGGATGCTGCGGAAAGGCTCCCGAACATCTCCCTTGAAGCTGAAGCCAAAGATGGCATCCACCACCAGCTCATATAGCTCATCGATCACACTGGCCTGTGGTGGAGCAGGAAAAGTAAAGGATGTCAGAGCCAGCAGCTGTACAGAGTTCTTAATAGGAGAGGGCTGTCCTCTACCCACAGAGGCACAAATACAATTTTGTCTCATTCAATGATATTCTGAGAATTAAGTGCAAGTCGGTCCCTGATTCAGGTCAAGTTGAGTCCAGACACCTAGATCTGCCTGCCTGCCACTGGGGAGGCTACAGTACCGGAGAGCCTGAGACGAAGTCAGGTGGGTCAGGTTCTGTCTCAGCTTTTACATGATCTGGTCTGTGACTGGACAAACCACTTTCATCCATAAAATGTGTTCAAATGTTTAAAAGCCCATCGAGCTCTTAAGTTTCCCACTCCCTAAATCCATGCATCTGCAGAAAGGGCTTCGGCATTGACTTCAGCTCCTAAGATAAAGTGTTGACTGCATCCTAGGGGAAGAGGAATGACTACAGAGCAAGAGTGGCCAGGGGAGGTGAAGAGGAAAGGAAGCTTTATTTCTTTTTAAAATACATTTTTATTGATTTTAGAGATAGAGTGAGGGAGAGAGAAACATCAATCGGCTGCCTTCTGCATGCCCCCTACTGGTGATCAAGGCAGCAGTGCAGGCTTGTGCCCTGACCAGGAACCCAGTGACTTTGGTGCATGGGAGAGGGTTCCAACATCTGAGCCACACCGGCCAGGGCAAGGGGAAAGGAAGCTTTAGAAGTGGTGATGGGAACTCAGAGCACACCTTGTGGAGGAGAAGGCTCTTACACTGCTTCTATTCAAATAACATACTTCAGGCACCTTCTGTGCCAGGCACTATTCCTACCCTCCAAGAATTCAACATCTAGAGGAAGATAATGCAGATGAGCTCAGCCTAGAAACCTGAGGGCAGCAGAATACAACGGTTATTATGGAGGAGAGCACTGAACTGGAGCCACCTACCTCCCGAGGCATTTCTTCAAGGAAAGGGATGTGCATTTTCTGACACTGGGTCACCAGGGCAGTGAAGAGAGGCTTGTTAGGTCTTTTGGGGTAATAGATGGTTGGCTGGTAGCCCTAGGAGGAGAGGAAAGGGGTAATTCATGTTCAGACCCTAGAAACCTTACAGCCTCCCCACAGCCCTCCACATACTCACAAAGAGTTTGAGGTGTCGAGCACAGACCAGGCCATCTCCTCCGTTATTCCCAGGGCCGCAGATGATCAGGACAGTAGGGGGGCTCCTGGACATTGACGTGGGGGGATATGCCTGAAAGGCAGAACCAGAGGGGATTCAGAGTAGGTTTGCGCCAAACAGCCCAAGCTCACCCCAACTGCCCCGCTCCATTGGGTTCAGGCCAGGGAGCCGGGGGGAAGAGTTGCACCACCGACCTTGGCAATGGCCGTAGCACAGCTCAGCCCGGCCAGCTCCATGAGTTGGTCCACGCTGAACTGGTACTCCTTAAACAGCTCCTCGTCCACGGCCTGAGCCTCCTCCTGGCTGAGCAAACCCCTCTGCTCAAGGGCCCGGTCTCGCGGGCGGCCCAGCGCCCCAAGCCCCGCACCGCGGGGAGAGCCCTCCGCCCGCACGCCCGGCCGGAGCCCCGCCCGCCTACCTCAAGTACTTCACCGGCGCGCTCGCCATGACCTCTGGGTCCCCGCGGCCACGCGAGATGAGCCGCTGCGGCCCCCACCAGGGGAGCCCCGCGCGACAGGCGTTGGCCTGGGATCTGACCCGCGGCAGGCGCGACCCCGCCACCAGCAGCCCAACCCCGAACAGAGACCACAGCCGGGACATCCAGCTCGCGGGGCGCGCCCTCGGCCCTGCCCGCCGCCCCGGCGCATGCGCGGCGCTAAGTCCCGCCCCCGAGCGGCGGGGGCGGGACCACTCGCCGGAAGCGCCTTGAGGCTCCCGCCCGCTTAGCTGCGCGCCCAGTTCTTCAAGTTTAGCCGTGAGCCCGGGTTCCCGCCCTACCACTAACTGAGTGAATTTGGACACTCGGAGTCTCAGTTTCCTGTCTGTAAAACGGAGTAAGGTACACACATTTCCTAGGGTGGCAATGCATGCAAAGCGCCGACGGGAGCGGGGACTTAGGACTCAATAACTGAAGCTGGTGCCGAAGCCGGTTTGGCTCAGTGGACGGAGCGTCGGCCTGCGGACTGAAAGGTCCCCGGTTCGATTCCGGTCAAGAGTATCCTGCCTTCCTCCCCAAGCTCTACAGAGCACTATGTTAGCCCTGGGCTACTGATATGGGACAGGAATAGAGTTCTCGATAGATAAAGGCTCTGTTATGGTGGCTTTTGTTAGACAATTGGTGAAACTAAACTGCATTCTAATCAAGACAAAATAATATACTCCATTTACGTAAGAAAGATTAACAGATGTGTCCCCAGCACCTACTTCTGTGCCTAGCACATACTGGTAGTAGGTCCTCTACAAATATTTATTTTAAATATGTTTTTATTGATTTAGAGAGAGTGAGAAAGAAAGGGAGAGGGATAGTGAAACATCTCTGAGAAACATCATTAGCTGTCCCTTGCATGTCCCCTACTGGGCATCCAGCCGTCGTCCCATGCACTGAGAGGATGCAGATTTGGTTCCTACTCACACTCTTGGCTCAGCAATTTATATAATATTTAATTAAATTACAAATTACAGTAACACAGACAACCAGCATAAATACATTTGTTGTCAAGTAAACAATGGCTTAGCTGGGGGAGTGGAACTGCCAGGCATTGCAGGAGAAGGGACTCACTACCTAGGTTAGAATCACGGCTTCTCCGCTTACTAGTGTGACCTGGGAAGACAAACAACTTAGATTTCTTTGCTCTCTATTCCTCACTGTGAAAGGGGATTCGCCTGTTGTGATTAAAGGAGAAAATAGTTGTGAAGCACTTAGAACCATATGTGGCATGTGCTAAGTGATTAAAAACCCATATTTAATGTCATTGTTGTGGCTACTGGCAGCCGTTGTCCCACAGGCTACAGACCTCAGGGGCCTGCATCCAGCCTCTGCTATGTTTCATGGAGGAAGTGGAATGCATTGGTTAAGCTGCACCTTCTATCCTATATAATAAAAGCCTGATATGCTAAGTATCCAGTCATCTGGTACTCTGTTCAACCAATCAAAGCGTAATATGCTAACGATATGCTAAGGCTGCTCAACGTCTCGCTATGACATGCACTGAATACCAGCGGGAAGACACTCCGATTGGTAGGTTAGATTGCTGCTGGGGTTTGGCAATTGGGACTTAGCAAGATGGGCCGGACATGCCCTGGAG